GGAAGTATTAGTTTGTTTTCAAATAGATAAACATAAGAAAACAAATAAGAGAAGATATTGAAACGATTGAAAGAAAATTTTCTAACTTATGTCACATAAGAATAGAAATAAATCAACGAAAATTGAAATTCTATAAGAATTTTTATTGATTTACTTTATCTAGAATCTTGTTATCGATATATGAACAATAATAAATAAAATTAATTTAATAAAATTCAAATAAAATCTTTTAATGATACAAAGAGAGAAAAATTTCTTTCTTTAACATATAACAAACAATATATATTATAAGAAAATAATTATCAACTTTATTCTCCTAATGTTAATAAAAGATAATTAATATTTATTTTTATATTGAAATATTCTAGTAAACATGTTCGATGTTAATCGATTTGTAAAATAGTTAATATAATAATAAGACTTTTTATAATAAATAACAATAAATAATTTATATTTATTTGAATAATAATAAACTTTAATTGAGTTAATATATTAACATTTAATCATATTTTCAATATATTATAAATAAATATTTTCATCTCATTTATTTTAATTGGTTGGATTTCTTAATAAAATAAGTATTATTTTCTTGTTGAACAATTATTTAGTTAAACGTAAATTCTTCAATAACTTCTTTTTTTTTTTGAACAAAAATCACAATTAAAACAAATGAAAAAAAAATATTCTCTAAAATAATATAATAAATTATGTTTTATTATTGATTTATGTTGAAAATAATAATTAATAATGATATTTGTTTTCTTTTAATTATTTTTGACCAAGGTCAACGATAATAGCGACCGGATTTTATGAATTATCACATGGAAAATGATTGCAATTCGGAAAGATTAATACGTTAATCATACAGAACGAATAACCTTGGATCATTTAATCCAATTTGTCGATTCCAACGACAATAGAAAATACTGAAAATTCTATTTATTATTATAACTCTATTAGATTTTCCAGAGTTTTCTTGTTTGAATCAACAAAAAACTTTTTCATCTGAATATAAAAGAAAAAAAGAAAAAAAAAAGTCTAAAATATTAAATTAGAGAAAAAATAAAGTCAATTGATATATATATATATATATATATGTTTATTTATTCATTAAATATAAATTAAGATTAATTAATATTCTATATATATATATATATATATATGATGAATAGTTTGTAATTATTGTTTGGTAATTATTTTTATTTAAAAAGAAAAAAGAAAAAATTTGTCATCGAGATAATATTCCACCGAGACTTGATTATTTACTGTTGAAATAAAGATAAAAACAAAGTCAAATAGCTATTGAACTTGAATCATTTGGTACAAATGCATGTTGATCATCATCATGATGTATTATAAAACTAGTTGGTTGATTTTGATTTTGATTTTGATTTAGATTATTATTATTATTAATAATTGGTTTTGTTCTATAAATAAATGTTTGATGATTAATTTTTGATCGTTTTCTATTTATCCATGGTGACCATTTATTTCTTCTTATGTAATCACGAAAATTTTGTGTTAAGATTAAATAAAGTAAAGGATTTAATAAACCATTTGCATATACAAAAACAAGTGTTAAAAAATTTAATATTTGTATATAAGGTGTTGGTCCACGTTGATTAAATGTATCATAAAGTTGAAGAATCCATAATGGAGACCAAAGAACAAAAAATGATATTATTATTAATAAAACAAGTGTTGTTGCACGTCTTTTATAATTATTTAATGAATTATTTGATAATGAAAGACGTCGAGATCTAATTGACCAACGATGAAGAAATAATATTAAACGAAATGAAAATGTACATGTTATTAATGATGGAAGTAAAAATGCACAAGCAAATTTTATTTGAACATAACGAGATAATTCACCTGCTGTCCAACGTGATTTACATTCACTAACACCTGATACTAATGCAGCTCGAGTTCGATTATGAACAAATAATGATGATGACATTGGTAATGGAAATAATATTGCAAATAACCATAATAAAATAATAAAACATAATACAAATAATAATTTAACTTTATCATTATAACGACGAGATGTTTCACGTACATCAATATAACGTTCAATACTTAATGCTGTTATTGTATAAACACCAACCTACAATTTTAAACAATTTTTTTTTTTTTTTTTTTTCTTTTTATATTAACTTCTTTTAAACATTTCAATTAAATGAAAATTATTACAATTCATAATCATATATCATATATCATATATATTTAAATATGTTAACTAAATATTCTTATTTATTAGAATTATTTCTTAAATATATTAAAATAAAAATGTCAATCATCTTGTTTTATAACAATTAAGATAAAAATAATAATTAAAACGCACTAAAAAAATTCATTTCATTATTTTTTTTTCTTTATGAAATTTTCCATATTTCATTCTCACAAATTTTACCTTAAGAAATCTATTTTCACAAATATTATTACCATACAATTATATATTATCTAGTTTTATTAATTCTATATAACAATATTATTATTATTATTATTTATTTCAAAATAATAAATCGTTTAATATTCATTTTATATATAAATATTAACAGATTAAATAATATTATTTATATTACATATTACATATACGTATATGATTATAAAATAAATTCTATATAGAAATCTATTTGTATAAGACGTAATTAATAATTAAAATAAAACTTACAATCATAGCAATAATATCAATCGCAATAGCTAATTGACAACCCACACGACCAAATGGCCACCATGGAATAACAATATGTACCGCAAATATCGGAATGGTCAATGAATAAACAATGTCACTGACAGCCAAATTAATAATTAAAAGATTTATTGGTGTTATTGCTCGGGCACCAACAATACTTATTATTGATACACAATTAAGAATAACTGAAGCTACAAATATAATACCTAATATAACCAATTGAGGAATCGGTGGAAGGCTCCATACAAGAGGAGGAACATCACTTCCATCACCCTCACCAACACCACCACCATCACCAACACTTAAATTGCTATTCATCGTCTAAAATATGAATCTAATAAATAAGAAGAAAATAATAAACATAATTAAGTATTTCAGATGTCGAACTCTAGAAGAAAATAGATTGTTGATGATCGAACAATAATATATTCATTAATCATTTATCCTTCAGTTTTCTTTTTTTCTCTCTATATTAATGTAGAATTATCTGCATAATGAGTTTATTTTTTCTTTTTTTTTTTTTTCTTTTTTTTAATGAGAAAAATTAAGAATCTATTTGGATATTTTCTTCATTGAATAACTTATGACAAAAAAAATCAACAAAAGTCTATAGAAGAAATATTGTCTAAGAACATAAATTTAGGTTTATTTGTTAAACAAAGACAGGTGTCATAACATCTGTTATATTTCAATGAGAAAGACATTGACTAAACAATAATATCTTATTTAGATAAATAATAATATAAATCAATGATTAAATAGAATAAATTAATTGTTTAAAGATGATCAAAATGGAAAATGCCTCATTAGTTTGACAATTGGAAAAAGACGCATTAGATCAATGATGTTCTCTTATTCTATCGATAAGGAAAGACTTTGTTTTTTTTCTTTTCTTTTCTTTTCTTTTCTTTTCTTTTCTTTGTTCTTTATTTGGTCGACATCTCTAATCAGTCAGTCAGTCGTTTTGACAACTGTTTCTTCTATTCAATTGATGATGTAACTTTACAGTAATGATTGTTAATTACGTTAAAGAATATAAGAGAGAGAGAGAGAGAAGAACAAATAGGATGTCTCGTCCATATCCGGCCTCCTATTATCTAATCATTTCGACAACGCCTTATATAAATAGATTTGTTTATTGAATATAATTTTGTCTTGTTCACAAATTTACAATCAGTTGATTAACTCGACAAGGATTTTTTTTTTCTTCTCTTATTGGTAATTTTTTAATGAAATAATATATTAATAGAATGTTAAACAAAAGACATAGAATATATAAGAAATGACAGTTTGATTTTTATTGAAGCAAGGTCATTTCTTTCTTTTATCAATTAAATCCAATCATATATGAATAATATCACAATAATATCAAACGAACAAATAAATATTAAATTAAACATTTCTTTCTTTTATTGATACAAAAGGCGCAAAAAAAAGAAGAAGAATGTTGATGATATGTTTGTTTATAAATAAA